ACTTGGCTGATCCGGCCTTCGTTGCAACAAACCACGGTTACAAGTTCTAGTTCTAGTAACCATGAACAAACGCATAATTTCCCTCAGATACAACACTAAGCGCTTTCTGTTGATGGTCAGTAAGCTCGTTCATCTTTCGTTGATTTCTATATTCCACAATTTTTAATTTACCAAGTCTGTGTCGTTTATATCGCGAGTTCTGATTGGGTAATGCAAATGAGCCCGAGTGAATCTTATACTCGCTTGAGGGCGTGCGACATACAGTAAATTGCAGTGAAATCTGCCAAGGGTTAATGTTGAGGCTTCGGCCGAATAAATGGTCCTTGGCTGGCGGAGATGAGGCACTTCAATCTGTTGCGACCACAATTTGGCGTCACAATCTTGATGTTTTTTTTGATGATGTATATTGTGTGCGAAATATTGTTGAGGATTACTACATTCCTGCCAATTATTTAACCTGTATAGCAATAATTCAAAATTTACAAAATAGGCTTCATATATTTTTCACAAAATGTTATAAAGACTTTTAGATGGGAATTGTGGTACAAAATTATCAAAATAAAACAAACAAACAAACAAACAAACAAACATACATACATACATAAAATTAGGCAAAATGCTGCAATATAGTTTACATGTTAACATATATTGCGTATAAATTGTAAAGGAAACATAATCCTATAATATTTTATAAAATCGTGTAAACCCAATCTGTATATTCTCCTTGTGGTCGTGGAAACCGCTTTCAAAAGAGAAGACAGGCAACGCCACGTTCTATTTTGTTGTGCTGACTTGGGAAGGAAGGGTTTCTGGCCATGACTCCAGTAGAAAATGAGATAACTTAAGAGCGGATTCCGGTGCAGAACAGGTGCAGATATCACTTGCTAGGCAACAATTCACACATTAAATATTATTATATTAAATACATATTAAACAGAATACGTAAATCGCCGGCAGTGAACACGGAGTAGTCCGTACTTGTAGTCTAGACACCATCTGGAGCCGGTACGTATGGGTCAACTGTGGTGTTATTTGTTCATCAGCCCCTAGGGTAAACATGTACTTCCTCATACTAATATGTACGCAGTGAGTTTCAAAACACATAGTTAAACTATTAATTACCATTTGGTTGGCACTCGTACATTGAGTAGATGACAAGAAGTACGTTTGGTGATGCATTAATTAATTCAAGCCGGCTTACATCTACAGAAAACGTACCAGGCCTGCTCTATTTTATCTGTTTAAAGCCTGTCTGTTTGGGTTTGCCGACCTTTGTTGGTAAAGTCACGAAAACTGCTGTGATTTTTGTGTGTGGAAAGGAGCGAGGAAATGAATCCATCACACAAAAGTCCTTGATGACATGTTACCTTATGAAAATCAGAAGTTGTGACATTCCATTTGTCATTATTGGATATTAGGTTAACTGATTAATAAGTAAAATTACATGCAATATTCTGCGCATGCTTAAACGACGTCAAGATTTATCGGGCTTTTTTAGTCCACGTCGGACGTAGTCCGAAACGGGGCTTGTATTTCGGGTTCCCTGTGAGCGTGCGTGCGTCCGTCATCGTCATTTCGCGTGAACAAATTTTCTTCAAAGATGGTACAAATACAAGTCATAATGGGTGACATGTGTATAACGATTTATTTTTGATTTGGTTGACCTTTAACCGACTGGCGGACATTTTTGTCCCCAAAATCGACATTTGGACATGTCATCAACCGTTTCTTGGACATGCCTTGACCAATTTCATTCAAACTTTGAATTACTGGGCTACTGATGTACGTCACTTATTTCGTGATTTGATTCTAAATAGTGTACTGGTGGCCATTTTGTTTTTTACCAGTGTACTATTCATTTTACAGAGATAATTTACAGATTTGGGTTAAAGACAAGACATAATGGGTTAAATATTGTTTTCAGTTATTTTTCGTTTTCATCGAAATATAGCCGAATGGCAGCCATTGTCGTCAAAAACGAAATTCAAACATCAATATGTACCTGCTGGGATTACCCCGTGAATCGTATTTTTACGCCTGAAGCAATAATGACTGTGCAATGTGTATAAATACAAACATTCGACCAAGTCAAGAGTTTGGTTGTGACTCAACCCCGTCGAAAACGTAATGGGCAAAATCAGTAGAAATAACAGCCCTTTGGATTAAACCATAATTACACTACATGAATGATTTTCAAAACACAACGAAAACAGCCTGGCCACCTCGCCTTCAGTAAAATTACGTAACCTTGTATCTTTTTTTAACACACTGTTCAATTGTTCCAACAGTTCTCTATCATAACCCGGAAGTAGTAATAATAAGCTGATTCGAGCTAGGTAAATCAACTGATGAAAAAAGCCACGATTAAAATCTAAACAGAAAGCTATAGCGCTAGAGGAAATGCAGAACTATTTACACATATCCAAAGAGTCGATCATTAGTATCGTTGGTGAATATTCCAAAAGTTATTTTCAACTACACTAATATTGGCAATATAAAAATATAGACTATATTAATAATCCGCCATTTTGTAAGCACTTTAGTGTTTGCTAAATTTCTATGCCTAAATTCAAAGCTTGATTACGCTGGGATCATATCACATAAAACAGTTTGAAATACAAGCATGTCAGCATCACATATATGTGATCGAGTGATCATGACGCAACGTGCTTTCTTTTCGTTGATCATGTAACTATTTCAATAAAACACATTGAACAGCTTCAACAACAACAGAGGAATGTCATGACGCCAACTACCACGGCGAGTGTTATTGACACCAACTTACCTGATTTGAGCCTCAGAATGTACTTCGTTACATCTACAGTGGTAGTTTGTCAATGAAAACAAAGAGGTCATTACGATAGCGATGCCGAGTAAGCATATAAGGGTGAAATACTTGGACAAATTCGCCACAGTGGCCATGATTGGGAATTCGCAAATAGTGTCACGTCACAATGAATGACGTACAGGTACATATACCGTGCCAGTCATATATCACCGGACTTCTCTCTCGAGCAGGTGGTTAATTGTGTCAGTAGACGGGCATTTGCTGTTACGGCCTGTAATGTTTTTTGATATCATCTGACTTGATCTAGCTTGACCCTTGATCGCATCAAAATTAATGAACATGAACGAACAGACAATGTGAGGGCGCTGTGTAATCAGTTTAACCAAAATACAAAAACAATACAATCAAACTTTAGAGCGTTTAATATTGAGATTTGTTTTAAGTGAAGAAGTGTTCAATAATCAATATCTGACATTTGTTTGCCGTAGTTCAAATCGACACATACCTGAACGTAACAAATCGACATGTTTTCAAACTCATTTTCAAGTCTGTGTTGAAATGTGACGTTTATTTTTCATTAGAATACATTGTTAGGTTACCAAGACCCATTCATTTTGTAAATATTACTCAAGTTTGGTAACGTGTTAAAACACGCCAAGTGACGGGGCATAGCCAATAAAAAACAGATGGCCAATATTCAGCGGAAGGGGGTGTAACGGGTATTTACGACGTACCATTCCATCTAATCAATCTTCATACAAATGCATGTGGACATCTAGTCGTACATAATGTACACTTCTTGGTAAAATATTAGGTGATTTTAATGCAGGAGGTTACTTCGGTCAATTGGATTGAGCGACGCATTTGATTGTCACTGGAAATGCATATCATTTTTGATATCCACAAACGCTTCTTCATCAGGATGAAAAAGCCAATTATCAAAGTTAAAAAAAAATACCTATTCGATAGTGAAGATATAAGTTATTTTATATACACATAAAAACTAACTAGCTTAGAAAGTGCGTTTGTGAAGAGTCTTGTCTGATTGGACGATATTTACTTACGCATTTTAATCAGAATTCTGGCTAATGTATATGCAAGCTACTTATCCATTACTCAATTAGTCAAACGAAGGCTGTCTCATATTATCTTAAATATTTATCAATTGCCACGAAAATTTTTCCTTGGTTCAACATTAAACAATTATCATGTATTAACATATTCTCCTCAAGTGTCCTCGTTGTTCGATGTCCTGGTAAATCCTGCAAGCTCAGACACTACTCCTGTGGTACCTATTTATTTTTGATACATGAAAAACGTAATAGCGATTCGTTACAATAGAATGCTGTATTACTCCATCGATGCAAGCTAATCCTGTTTACCCACTTGACTTTCTGGTAGTTATGGTGCGCCTCATCTGGAAATTCGCCAAAGCTCCGCTAAAGTGCACGTTTAATACTTGAGTCAATTTTATAGAAAGATTTTAATTCGCAACAATTTGGATTTAAAAAAAAACACTGTTCTCTTGTTCGGAAAACCTCCCACATAAACGTAGATATTTAAATATATGAGTTATAAGATTTTATTTTATTTTATTGAGACGATTAAAGTCACGCTTGTAACTTTTTATATGCATTGTAACCTGTTCCCCTAGGAAAAATGGAAATAAAATAATAATAATATATTAAAATTTATGCAGTGACATTTCAGAGGTCATAGTTCATATAGGTTATCATTATCTAAGACAACACTACAGTCGTTTAAAATGATAAATCATATACACCATTTCAGACAATGTTTTTATGGGCTAAGTTTTGTGTAGGTCAAACGAAGTCATGTCAATATTTGGTTTTTGTAAAACAAAGGGAACAATCTTGACTAATATAATTACAAAATATGTTAATAGTTTGATTCACGAGGCAAGTTCGTCAAATTAGCATTTTGTTTCAAGTTCCAATTTTTTTTGTTATTTCGGCTTCCAACACCTCTTTACTGAGGTAAAGAGCTGGCATTAGATCTGTGTGATATAGCTGTTCATCATCTTTCTACTGCTCCCAGTCGTGATTTTGTACGTTGCTCAAAAAGTTTTAACCGGTATTATAAACCTATCCAGATTATCAAGATGTGAATGCAACAAAACTAAAACTAGCATGTACACCCTTCTGTGCTTGCCATGCGTCAAATCAAGGCATTAATGGACAAACAAGTGCAGCATGGAAAATACAGTAGTCAGAGGAACTACTATAAGAGTTTATGAGATATTATGAAATTACCATTTGTAAAAAAAATGCCCTACATAGTGAAATCAATGATCGTATCCACTGACTAATGGTTTGATTCAATTTCCCGACTTCAAAAACATTAATTTGACATTAAATCACACAATTGCGATACTAACGTCGGAGATATAGTACCTTATTAAATAGCATGGTGGCCATTTTTTTTAAATGACCATTTTGAAATGTGCACATTAGAAAGTAATAAATGACCATGCAACATGCGACATGTCACTGGTGATGAATAAATCACCAAAGTATAGTTACTGGTAATTCAGTAATATAAATGGTAATCTAGTGATACTCATTTAACTGTAGTTGCAGAGTAGAAAATGATCTGTGAATTACCCAGGAGATACATACACACAAGTTTCTTTGGAATCTGATGTTATTCAAGTCATCAGTCGGACAAAAAAGTAGTTAATATGCAGAGATTTAACCTGATAGTTATCACCTCTGTATTAAAGCGGGAGGGTCGTCACCTGCGCACGCACGGGAATTGAGTCCCAAGCGATGATAACAACACACGCTAAAAACGCAAAGGGTGACTCACATAAACAAATAGTGTCATAACACAACAGCTAAACTTTCAAAGTACTATCTGGGTAACATGACCTCCCCAAATTAACTAATCCTAATTGAGAGACAACAGCACAATTATCTCAGAATTGGCATTGAGAAAAAGTAATAAGAAATAAGAGGTCATTGTTTACAATCGCAAGAAACTTTATAAAATGGGACCTGACTTAAAATACAAGTACTTGCCTGCTTAGTACAAGAAAACATGCATGGCTTGAAAATCTTGTGTAAGCTAAGCTTGTGTAAACTAATTTTTTTGGAACAACAATACGAGGGGCGTTCAATTAGTAATCCCTTGACCCACTTTCAGTTGTCTGATCTAGATAAAATTTTGCATGTGTAATGATTTACACCTCTATGTGTTATGTTGCTCTGAACTAATTGTGGTTTCTGATTTACAGGTGTTTGAACTGAATCAGGTGTGAAATGGAACCAGTTAAGTGTCGCGCAGTGATCCGGCTTTTGTATTTGAAAGGACGCACACCAAAGGAGACTTTTGATGCAAAGAAAGAAATTTATGGTGATGATACCCCATCATATGATCTTGTAAAATGCTGGCATTGTGAATTCACACATGGCCGGACGTTTGTGGAAACAGCTCGTCCCTCTTCTGCCATTGATGAGGCATCTGTCCCTCAAGTTGAGGCAGTCATTTTGATAGACGCATTACTGTTCGCAAAATAATCCAAGAGGCCAATATTAGCACAGGGTCTGTTTAAACTATCGTTCATGGTTGCTCACGTCTTTCCAGAAGCAAGAACGCATCGAGTGCTCGAAGATGAATTTGCAGATGTGCCAATAAGGTGAGTCAAAGTTTTTCAAAAGACTGAATATACAGGATGAAACTTGGGTTCATCACTATGATCCAGAGACCAAAGCACAGTCTCACCACCTCCAAAGAAGGCAAGGGTGCAGCCCTCTGCTGGCAAGGTCATGCTCACAATCTTCTGGGACCAGGAAGGAGTAGTGATGACAGATTTCCTGGCAAAGGGTACCATAATTACAGGAACCTATTACGCTTCATTTTCGACGAAATTAAGAGAAGCTCAGTCTCAAAATCAAGAGGCGAGGCAAAATCAGCAAAGGTGTCATCCTCCAACTCGCATGTCGCCAGATCAGAAGTATAGGTGTGTGGCTAGAAACCCCCCCCCATACCCCTTACTCTCCTGACCTTGCACCCTCTGACTCTAATCTCGTCCCAGCCATGAAGTTATTTCTGAATAGAAAGCGTTTCCCAGACGATGCAGCCTTGATTTCTGAAGTTACGACGTGGTTGGAGGGACAACCTGGGGTGTTCTACAAAAACTGTGTCCAGAGCTGCATCAAACGATTGGAGAAATGCATAACTTTGGGTAGTTCCTATGTAGAGAAAGACTAATAACTGTGCCAAGTTGTACTAATCTGCTATGGGAAATGGGCCAGGGGCATTACTTATTGAACGCCCCTCGTACATCTCCTACATAAGAAGCCCCATGTTTTTAAGCACGCTTTATCTGCCGAAATGTTCCAATCCGCCAAAAACCATGACAAAATGAAAAGAAATGAAAAGCGGCTAGCTCTTGCTTTATATATAAATGCAGTCAACCCTCACATTATATCCAGCCATTATACAGCACACCAATGCCATGCGCGAGTAGATATGTACAACATTTTGTTAAGCTTTTTTAGATGATACTTGAGAAACCAGCTGATTGATATGCACAAGTTGCAACCATCTATGTCATTGAAATCTGTTCATGAAAAACCAGTTAAGTAACTTAAATTGGCAAATTAATATGTAAATGCGACCCTCACAGTAAGCTCAATAACATATGTAAATATGACAATCTATGATGTGTTTTTGCTGGCACAAAATTCAGTCATCGGCTTCACATTGTTTTACATTTACTAATCAATCTTGTCAAATAATTGAATAACCAAGACCTCTGAGGGTCACAGCACTGAGGTGATGTTCGCTGTAAGGGCCCTACATATTTTGTTAAATCCAGAGGAATAGTTTCTTGTCTGATTGACGTCACGTGTTTCAAATGACCAGCACTGGAAGGATACTTCAAAAATTCCCACCCTCAATTTCCGAAGATATTGAAATACATGATGCCATCACACACGGTAGTGTCAAATATATATAATCGCATATTATTAACCACGAGTCTTCCAGATGTTAATGAGCTTGATGAAGGAAGTAGTACTTCACAAATTCTTCGCATATGGCCATTGGTATGGCAATAAAGGCAAATGCTACAATTGGAGGTGTTTATGAGAAAATAAACACTTCCGTT